CTGGCAGGCTTGCACCTGGCACAGGCACCGTAGCCAGCCCATGCCCCTTTAAGGGATCCGGGGCCGGGGAGGGGGGCAGACGAGTTTCCCTGGTGTTGGCCAGAGTGGCCACCAGGGAAAGCTGGGGAGGGCTAGCCTCCCACTAGTTCGAATTAAGGGGCTACACACCCCTTAATTCGAACTAGTAAGTCCGAACTAGGCTTAGTCCTCATAGGATGAGGTTTACCTAGTTCTAACTAAGCGCTCCACTAGTTTGAATTAAGTTCGAACTAGCGGAGCGCTAGTGTAGCGCCTATCAAAGTTAATTTGAACTAACGTCCGTTAGTTCGAATTAACTTTGTAGTGTAGACATACCCTCCGAGAGAAAACACAACTCTTGTATCTTTCCCCATGATGGAAGTGCTGTAGCCAGTTCAAATCTGTACAGAAGCCTAATCTGCCCTGCAACCTACCATGTTCAAAGGATATACAACAATTGCAGAGCGAGAAAGGATGCTACAGGCATGCTGAAGGGCACTCCTCTTATGCTGATCTATCAGGACTTTCCAGACTGCACACTGCCAATCCCACGACTACTGAATGACTAAACGTGTCTGATATCTACCCAAGCCAGTCTGACTTTTTTCCTTTATACATTTCTGATTTTTCTCCCTACTTCACATTTTGAAACTTTTTCATCTTTATTGTACATCCATACCAGTAATGAGAACAACTATTCGCTTCAGCCTACTCTGCATTATCAAATTGCTGAGGTGGCAGCTTTCTATTATTTAAGATACTTTTGTGGTGGCCTGCTCCCTTCCAGAGTTATTTGTAAAGCACCAGTTTATACAGAGTTTAAACACCATATGGTTATAACCAGTTGCAATGATTTCCAAGAGCTTCTGTATTATACTGAAATTTTCTTTTAGCTTGGATGGATTTTTCTGGACACTACTTAAATTTTAATTCATTAACAAAAGCAATCATAATTAATTGATAAATACCAAAGTTAAATCCATTAAACAATAAAGCATCACACATGCTAGCCCGAGAAAATATATGCAGGATTATTCAAACTGGAGTTCCAATCCTGGAATTTTGAAAAGGACTTTTATTATTCACACTATGAAATTTTCAAACAGCTATAACTGTTCACGTATCATTTGCAAATAGAAAAAGAAAAAAAGGATTTGTCTCATTTACAAAGCTTAGTGTATCCAGGCAGGGAACAGAAACAATAACGTGTGACCAATTGTGTGGCATGAATACTAATAGCAACCTGTTTGTTAATAAACCTTAGGCTCTAATCTGTTCCCTCAAATAATTGAGGCTAAGAAGCAAATTTGTAAAAACTTTCAACCTGTTTGTGGCTAATTTGTGAACAAAAAAGGAGCTATGTATGTTGGAGAAGTTATTCAAAATGAACTATTCTACTAGCTCTAAGTATTTAATAACTAGGCAACTGGCCTAAGCAGTATGGAGTAGTCCTTTGTAGTCTGTGGGGAAGTTATCGCAGGTGAAAGATGGCCATTTAGGAGAGGGATGAGTTATATACAGAGAGAAGGGAAGATTTATGGCCCCTGGGAATCAGTTCAGTGTTGGGGCTGTTGCCTGGCTGGCTGGCTGGCTGGGAAGCCACCTCTTGCTCTGGCCTTGGCTTTCTCACTGCAATTCCTGACTCCTCTCTCAGGTGGGGAGCAATGGAAGGAAAGGGGTGACTCCCTGAGTGGTCACGTTGTGGTCAGAAAAGAACTAGCCCAGAGTCCAGAATGACTCTATTTGGGTCAGAGGCTAAAGGGAGGCAATTCAAGAGGGTGAAGCTCTTGGTCCGCTCCAGGGAATAGAAGGTGGTTTGTTGTTGCTTGGAGGGAGATAGAGTAATGGTTGAAGTGAGGTCTTGACTGAGGGGACGTGTTAGAACTTGGAGGTTCTGCTGATAGTAGAGGATGGGAAGGACAGAAGTTAGCCCTATAGTTTAACCATTGGGTGATAGCCCCCCTCTTTAGAGTTTGCTTTTGATGCCACTTGCTCATGTTATAAATCAGAAGCAATTGATTCTAGGTTAAGTGAGATCTGAGTCAGGTTTATGGAGAATACCAATTGATCCCCTCCCTATCCCTGCCAATCCTATGGGGAGACTGCATTTTCTCTTCCACTCTCCAGACACTGTGTACACAAAAGAGCCATTAAAAAGCACTGACAGATTTTTATAACTTATTTCCATCAGACAATCCACACATTAGTGACAGTGACTGGCCAGAGTGCCTCACTAATGTTAAACCAGTCAAGCTCCATTGCTCTGGAGCTGTGTCAAAGAGGCAGGAGCTATTTAATTAGTCTGAAGCAAGAGACAGCAACTGTGTTGTAGATCTTTCTTTGCTGTCTTGGAGGCCTTTGTTGTCCCTGTTCAATGTAATGATATCTTAATGTTGGAAAAGCAGAGGAACAGATATTCGGTTGTGCACCATTCACATGGAAAAGGCAGGGAAAGGCTTGCAATGGGTGGATTTAATAGGCATGTGTAATGGACCCCTCTGAGTTGGGTTTCTAGTTCTTCTGATACTGCAGCTTCATAGGCATTCACCAGAAAATGTTTTAGCTATATATAGACCACTGCCAATTGAGCCCTATCTGCAGAACCATACCAAGGGTGTCGGTTGTGCACCATTCACATGGAAAAGGCAGGGAAAGGCTTGCAATGGGTGGATTTAATAGGCATGTGTAATGGACCCCTCTGAGTTGGGTTTCTAGTTCTTCTGATACTGCAGCTTCATAGGCATTCACCAGAAAATGTTTTAGCTATATATAGACCACTGCCAATTGAGCCCTATCTGCAGAACCATACCAAGGGTGTATGGG